GTCGTGGCATTCTCGAAGTATTCGAAGGCGATCGCCGAGGTTTGACGACTAGCTTGTGTGCTCCGTGACTGTCCTTGCGCCAGAGGGTGTCGTTGTCGAGGAAGAATTGCATGCAGTATTTGATGAATCCTTCGTAAACGCTTTCAGAGATGCCGTCGGGCTTTGCTAACGTTCGATGAAATTCGAGCATGTCATCGAGCTTCGCGTCGGCGAGTTGCGCTTGCTCCGATCGAGGCACTAGCTCGTAGCTATCCTCCTCCCTTTTGAAATCTGAGCCATCCTCGGCTCTGTCATTGGCCAAGATGGCTAGCAAGGGAACGGACGGGAGGGGCTGAATCTGGTGAACGAAAGAATGCATCTGGTCGATCCAATCGTCGAACTCTCCGTCGACCTCGTCTTCGATGACATCACCGGGCTGAGCTGTGCGTCGAGAGAGGCCGTCGGGGCCGTGCATTGTACCGGGGACGTGGACGAGCGTGAAATGGAATGTGAGGATCGAGACAATCCACCGGTTAATGCTCGCGCTTGGGGCTATGTCCGGATTCTTCAGCATACCCTTGATGTACCGAGCATCAACTTCGACGATGAGGTTACGGACGCCGATCAGGTAGAGTCGAAGGGATCGTAGTGCGCGGAATAGGCCGTAAATCTCGAGCTTCGGCTGCGAAAACCTTCGTTCGCGATCGTTGAGCGTGATTGAGCCGAACCTGCTGTAGTAACGGACTCGCGTGTTGGCTTCGTCGCACTGGCAGAGGTGATATCCGACGGCGATGAACGACGTGTCGACTGCGAGAATGACGGGGGAGGGGGAATCATAATTAATGGCTCGGAGGGCGGGGGATGAGAGTAGCGCGTCCTTGAGGTCTTCCTGCGCCACGATTTGCTCCGGACCGAACTCGAACTCGATGTCCTTCCTCGTGAGGCGTACGAGCGCGTCGGCGCGGTGAGCGAAATTACGGATGAAGATTCGAACGACGCCGATGGTTCCGAGGAACACTCGAACGTCGGATAGAGTAGCGCAGGGACCCCAGTTGCGTATCGCAGTGACGCGAGAGTCGTCGGGGAGGCGTCCGTGAGGAGTGCAGCGATGTCCTACCACCATGATTTCTCGAGCGATGAGGATGCTCTTGACTCCTGAAAAGGTACCTCCGGCGTAGCGCATTCGAGTGACTATGCGGTTCATGTTCTCGAAATGCTCCCATACGAAGCGTCGAATGCCAGGGTTCGAGGGGAGCCGTTCGTTGTCGTAGTCGGATTCGGGACCTTTGACGGGAACATCGTCGACGTAGGGCACCGTAACGTGCGGGATTTCGGGCTGCAGGATGTAGGTGACATCGTCGTGGAAGATCGGGACTGAGTTCGTCCAACCCATCGGGAGTGTTACTAGGCGCATGGCTCCGTAGGGTGTCTGGAACGTCGTTAGGTCTCTCGAAGACTCGGCGATGAGTCGTTCGTCGTAGCCGACGTAGAGGTCGAGCATGCCACCGCATGGTCTTCCTCCAAATTGTTCTGCGAGGTATTCGGGCATCGGCGGTACACCGGAATGTTGGATCGTGACTGCATTGAGGGGCTCGAGGGAATGGACGAGTCGAAGAGATTTACCGTCCTTCTTGACGACACAGAACCACCGCGATCGATACGACGAGTTCAATGGCTCGTAGACTCCGGCGGCGATCTTCCGCTTGATCACCGCGCAGACTTCATTGTAGATCCCGGGCGGAATGGGGATATTCTTCTGCACCCAGGGCGTGTGAGGAACAATGGGGAAATCGACGGGAGGGAAGTACTCGGGCTTGAAGCATCCTCGCTCGTCGTCGGTCCATGCGAAGGCTTCATTGTGCAGGCACATGAAGTGGTGGAGGACTCGACGTTCTTCGGGAAGTAGGAAGTCGCCGTCGTGAAGCTTATTGGTTGCTTCGAAGCGTTCGAGGGTGTACCGACCGGTAGGTTTGAACGGCGGGGGGTCGGTCGAAAGCTTAGGCATGATGGATAGAGGGTCGCCCTTGATGTTTCGAAGTATCCGAAATTGTTCGGGGACGGCACCAAGGACGGGTCGGGTTTTGAGAGCGACAGGCTTGTATTTCTTCTTTGTTGCGGCGAGGATCTTGTGCGTTGAAGGGGTAGAAGTCGATGTCGTCGAAGGAAAGGGGAGAATCGAGTTGGAAAACTGTGAGATGGACTTCGTCGGAACGGGAGCTGGCGGAGTCGAAGCGAACGGAGCTGAAAATAGAAGAGTTGAAGCCCACGTCGAAGCGTTTGACGGAGCGGCATTAGCAGCTGTAGTGTCCGAAGCGTAAAGAGACTGCAAATATGATGAGACGGAGGTGCATGCGGAGAGATACAGCGACGAAACAGCGTTCGGAATCGAGGAATCAATAGGAGCGACGAAGGAAATACTCGGGTTTACCCCATCGTAGTCGATGACTAGCGCGGCTTCTCCTTGATCATGGGGAATCAATTCCTCGAAGCTAGAAAATGCGATTGGCGACACCCGAGAGGATGCTGCCGGCTTCGCGATCTTCCTCGCGCATACGTCGGAATCGTGACGGTTTCGCCGGTGTTCGGACAGAGTATCGTAATGGTCTGGTTCTCGTCGGCAAAGTTCTTGACGACGCTCTGCGTGAGCACGTCGAAGGGTCGGCCGAGGAGGATGTCGTACGCTGCGTTTCGAATGACGTGAGCCTGGAGATACAATACGATCTCACCGATGCGGAAGGGAACATTTCGAATGAGTCCCAACGATCGGTCCACCTCGCCGTTCGCCGATTGCATGTTCAGCTGGATTGTAGGATCGAAGAGGAGGTTGAGGCCGAGACAGACCTCTTCCGACATGGCGACGATCTGCGAACCTGGGTCGAC